GTTGAGTGGCTAGCTAGCCGTACCCAGTCCTGGCTGTCCTGGGGGCACTCTTCCCAGCCGGGAAAGCTGCTGCAGACTTTTCGAATTAATTTATATTTCGTCGAAGACACGCAGTACAGCACTTTCGACTTCTTCTTCACCCCGCTGCTGCTGCTGCTGCTGCTGCTGCTGCTGCTGCTGCTCCCCGCCAGCTCCTCTGCTGCTGCTGCTGCTAATTTCTCGCGGGAAGTTGCTGCTGCTGCTGCTGCTGCTGCAGAGGGTTCTGGTGCTGCTTCCCGGGTCGAATTCGTTGCAGCTGAGGATTGCTCCACACTGTTTGCTGCTGCTGCTGCTGCTGCTGCTGCTGCTGCTGCTGCCACTGATTGGTTTGCTGCTGTGGAGTGCCTGATTCTAGGTTCTGCTACTATTGCTGCTGCTGCTGCTTCTGCTGCTGTTATTTGCTCATTCGAATCTGCTGCTACTGCCGTTGCTGCAGCCTCTGTGTCCCTACTGGTAGTTGTTGCAGCTGCTTCTGCTGCTGCTGCTGTTGCTGCATGCAAAACGTCATTTGCTGCTGCCGCTGCTGCTGCTGCTGCCTGCGTATCGGATCGCGCCCCAGGTGATGGAGCTGCTGCCTGCGCATCAGCATTTGCTGCAGCATTTGCTGCTGCAGCAGCAGCAGCTGCTGCTGCTGCAGTCGCATCCCCGTATTGCTGTTTCTTTCCTCCTGCGTTGCGCTGACCAAAGGCTTTGAATCTGTTGCTGGGGTAAACAGCGCTTTGGGGTTTGCTGCTGCTGCTGCTGCTGCTGCTGCTGCTGCTTGCAACAAGCCGCTGCTTGCCTGTGCGGGTCTGTGTTGCTGCTGCTGCATTTGCTGCTCCTTCTGGATCGCCAGGGGGCCTCTCTGCCGCGGCGTGCATTATTGAAGAAGCAAAAGGGTTTTAAATGTAAAATGAAATCAAAATAAATAAAATAAATGAAATGACGAACAAACTGCGCGTTCTCCGGCCTCGCAGGCACACCGGCTGCGGTGTATAGGCAGGTCTCCCGCGCGCAGCACCTGCTGCTGCGCAAGCGGAGAAGAAAAGAAGAAAATTCAAAGAAATGGAATTGAATTAAATAAAATTGAATTTAAAATGTAGCAAAATAAATAAAAATAATCCAAATTACGCAAAGTTGAGCTCCGGAAGACGCAGCAAAGATGGCGGTGGAAGCCCCCGATGGAGGTCACTCTGGGGGGTTCGGGAAAAACCGTTTTATTTCTTTTTTGTTTCTTCCTTGAAAGGCATTTTCGAATTTTAATTATTCTTTTTAATTTATAAAAAGCATTTGTTGCGAGAAACTTGCTTTTAAAAACACTTATCTGCAAAAACAAGAACTCCGCGTCCACCAGGAAGACCTGCGGTTTCTGCTGCCGCCCCCGGACCGAACTGGAGATTAAACAGAGAAGTGGTTTCGGAATTTCATTCTGTTTGAAAATAAATTAAGTAAATTAAAATAAATGAAATAAATGAATTCAACTGCAGACTTTAATTCGTGAAACCCCCGCTGCAGCGTCGCGACGCCGCGCAGGTGTCGACACCCGGATCAACTTGCAGAGGTTTCCAACTTCGGGGAATCTCGAAAAGAAATCCATTTTTTTTGCTTTTTAAAACAAAGAAAAGAATAAAAGAAGAAATTAATTGTTATAGAAGGAAGAAACAAGCTGAAAAACGAAACGAATCCGGCAATTTGAAGTGCAGCTACAACTTGGAGTCAACTTGAACAGAAAAGCGAGTTAAATGAATCTGCAAGGAAGAGAGCTGAAGGGGTCCTTTATTTCTGTTATTTTTTGCCTTTTAAAACCAAAAAGAAGAATTAAATAAACAAAAATAAAAATAAAAATGAGAATTGAAAAGATCAAATGAGCTGCTAGACAAACCACGCGAGGCCCAGCAGCAGCAAAGCCACAAGCGGCGGACAAATGAGGGAGAAGTAAATCCATATCCTGAGCAGCAAAAAAGAAATTAAATTAAATTTGAATTTGATGATTTAAAACAGTTCATTTAATGTTAAATTCAAATTTAATTATAGAAAGAATTAACTTAAATTCAATTTATAATGTTGAATTCGAACTTATTTGTTTTGAAGAAACGATTTAAATTCGATTTAGAATGTTAAATTGGATTTGAATTTTGATTATTTAAAAGAACTGATTTAAATTCAATTTGGAACTTCAATTAAATTCAATTTTAATTATTTGAAGGTTTTTAGTTTGTTTTGAAGCAAATTAAAGGGCCAAAAAAGCCACTAGTGAATTAATTGAATTATTTCATTTAAAATGGATTTAATTAAATTAAATTAATTAATTCAAAAATACCATTTAAAGGTTTTAAAAGTTTAAATAAATAAATGAATAAATAAATTAAATAAATAAATAAATAAATAATCAAACAGACGCACCAGGGACTTGTTTTTTTTTCTTTCTTTTCCTCCTTCTCAATCAGCTCTTCCTGCAAATAAAATAGACAAATAAAATAAATGAATTTAATTAAATTAATTAAATTAATTAAATTAAATTAAATTAGATTAATTATTTTATTTAATTGTTTTATTCACCTTCTCCTCTTCTGAGTACTCCGGGTTTATATACTTGGGCCCCTCAGCAGCTTCTTCGGGCCTCCACGTGGGCCGCAAGTCCTTTAATAAATAAATAAATAAATAAACAAATAAATAAATAAATAAATAAATAAATAAATAAATAAATAAATAAACAGTGAGAAATGGTTTATTTGATTGTTAAACAGACTGCAAAAGTTTGAAAAATAAATAAATAAGTAAATAAACAAATAATAAAATAATAAAAAGCTTAATAAATAGAAAAAAAATAAATAAGTAAATGAATAAATACTTCAATTTAATTTAATTATAGTGTAGCATTAATCAAATTAAATCGAATTAGTTCTAATTAAACTCTTTATAATTAAATTAAATTAAATTAAATTAGTTAAGTTATTTAATTTAATTAAATTAAATTAATTAAATTAAATTAATTTAAATTCTTTTAATTTTAATTTGCAAAATACCTCCGGGGATATCTTCGGCTGCGGCGCCAGAGGGATCTCGAGAACTTCTTTTTCTTTTTTTTGAATTTCTTTTTTAATTTCTTTTTTTATTTCTTTTTCAATTTCTTTTTTTTTCTTTTCAAATTCTTTTTCTCTTTCTCGACTTCTCCGTCGCTCTTCCGCGGCCTCCCGCTGCTGCTGCTGCTGCTGCTGCAGTTCAAAAAATAATTTTAATTTAATTTTAATTTTTACTTTTAATTTCATTTACTTCTTTAGATGGGCCTCTTTCTGGGGGACTCGGGGGCCCCACAATCTGCAGCAGTTGGAATAAATTATATTGAATTAATTTTTATTTATTTAATTCAAGTTTTATCTTTTAAGAGAACCAGCAAAGCAGCAGCAAAGCAGCAGCAAAGCAGCAGCAAAGCATAGAAGCAGCAGCACCAGCAGCGGCAGCACCAAAGCAGCAGCAGCAGAGCAGCAGCAGCAGCAGCAGCAGCAGCAGTAGTAGCAGCAGCAGCAGCAGCAGCAACGAGCCTCACCACCTCCTCTTCTTCTTCTTCTGGCGTTTCTTTTTCTTCTTTTTCTGCCTTTGCTGCAGCAGCAGCTTCGGCTTCTTTTGCTGCTTCTGCTTCCTCCTCCTTTTCTTTTTCTTCTTCTTTTTCTTCTTCTTTTTCTATTTCTTCTGTTTCCTTTTCTTCTGCTTTTTCTTCCTTTTCTTTTTCTTTTTCCTCTTCTTTCCTTTCTTCTGCAGCAATTCGTTCTTCTGCTGCTGCAGCAGGAAGCGCGTGCTGCTGCTGCTGCTGCGCCTTTTGCTGCAGTTCTTCTTTTTCTTCTTTTGCTGCTTCTTCAAAAATCTTTTCTTCTGCTGCTTCTCCTTTTCCCCGCGGCCCCATAGGAACCGGAAACGGTATTATCTGCACCTGTGGCTGCTGCTGCTGCTGCTGCTGCTGCTGCTGCTGCTGCTGCTTGCGGTGCTCCTCAGGGGCTGCTGCGGGGGAAGTTAGCAGCAGGAGCAGCAGAGCAGCAAAGAGCAGCAGCAGACCTTCTTCGACGACAATTACTTTCTTCTTTCCGGGGGCACAAGGGGCTGCTTTTTGGAAAAGATAGAAATGAAAATGAAAAAGCAGAAAAGAATTAAACTGCCTCTTGAGTTGCTGCTCCTCACCTTGCTGCTGCTGCTGCTGCTGCTGCTCGAGAACTTCTTCTATTTCGCTTTTGTTGTCTTTTGCGTTTTTGCGAATTTGCTTCGACAGCTTGGCCTGGCGTTGGGGTGTCTGCGCAGACACCGGAGGGCCGTTCAAGTTTGCAGGCGCACCTGCAGCTGCTCGCGTTCTCTGCGGATCATTTCTGAATTGAGTTGAAACAAAGGGGAAAAGAGTTGAATTTGAATTTAATTGTTCGCAGCTTTCTCGCAAACCTTTAAGGCTTTCGTCAGTGACCCATTTCTGGTCTTCCCGCAGCAAGTTCAGCACCAAGGCGGCCCCCACGACCCCCTCGAGCTTCCGGCGAGTGTGCAGCGAGTTCGCCGCCAAAAGACCCATTTCCTGGACCCAAGTGCATTAAATTGAATTAAAACTTCAAAAGCACTTCAAAAATAACTCAAAGATTCCTTTTGTTCACCTGCAACAGCCGAGATCGCTCCGCTTCCAGCCGGATCGACCAGTCACGACACGGAAGCCTCCGCGCCTCTCCTGAGGGAATACGCTCCGATCTTTTCGAATTTGCAAATTAAAAGTGGAAATTAATTATCACCAAACTCTGCAGAATTCAGAAAACCCGAAGAAAGCTTCGAAATTGCAATTTCCCCCCCCAGTTTCCGGCCCGACCCGCTGCTGCGCCGGGGGCCCCGCCGGCGCTGCGCGCCGAGGGAAAACTCCAAACGAGAAGCAAATAAACAACAAATCGCAAATAAAACAATCATTGTCCCTTCAGGGCTTTATTTCAAATTTAAATTCGCAAAATAAACTGAAAAGCTGCACAGCTTTCCCCCCCAGAAAAGTTCAAGACGCCAGCGTTTCGGGTGTATCGACACCTCCGGGAACGCGCCGCGCCGGCGCGCGCCGGCGCGCGTCGGCGATGATTCAGAAAAGATGTTTTGTTCCTTTTTTGTTTTTCTTTGGGGTTCTTTTCAAGTTTAAACATTGCTTTTTACTTATTCAAACTTCTCTGTCGCTCAAAAATCAGAAAAGGATCTACAAACGGGCACCGATCCACTCCACTGATCTATTCAGGTGCAGGAAGCGCTTCGATTCAACACTGCAGCAGCAGCTCCAGCAGCACGAACTATGGGCAGCAGCAGCAGCAGCAGCAGCAGCAGCGCACAGACAACTCTTGAATTGGGTTGAGGCAGCAGCGGGGCAGCTCTGGGGTACTGCAGCAAAAGATCTGGTGGCCTTTTTAGTGCAGCTGCTTATAAGGACTTTTGCTGCAGATTAATTTGAACTTAAAGCCCAAGAGAATGCTGCAGAAGTTCCTGCTGCAGCAGCTAGTCACAGCTTGCTACGGCTAGCTGCAGCCAGCTGCAGCTGCTGCGGCTAGCTGTAGCTAGCTAGCCGGAGCAGCTGCAGCTAGCTGCAGCTAGCTGCAGCAAGAGTCTAAAGACATTTTTCTGAAGGATCTGAAGGCCTTACAGTTGGAGGCCTGTGTGGCGTTGGGCAGCAAAGAAAGTCATTTTTGTTCTTTAGGGATTTTTGAAGAAGCTTGAAATTGATTTATTTGTTTTTAAGAAATAATAAATCAAATGGACTCATTGAACTCCTGTGGGCAGCTGCAGCCGCAGCAGCAGGCAGCACCGGTGGTCCCGCACAGCAGCAGCAGCAGCAGCTGCAGCAGCAGCAGCAGCAGCACCAGCGGCGGGGGCGCATCTAGCTGCAGACAGCGTCCATTCGTGTCCTTCTTTGATTTAAAGCAGTTAATTCGCTGAAGCTGCCAAAAAAGAAATAAAATTAAACTAGATTTTGCGTGTTGCACTGCAGCAGCAGCCGCAGCAGCAGCGGCGCCGAGCAAGTGCAGCAGCAGCAGCGGCGCGGCGTTGGCTCAGAGCTGCGGAGGTTTTCTGTGTCTGGGGGCGCTGAGTTCGATCAAAAGGTGAATTAAAAGATTATTTTTGTGTTTTTAGAAAGAAAAGTTTGAATTTAATTGCTTTTTATTGCATTCGAGCGGTTATTTGCTGCTGCAGCAGCAGCAGCAGCAGCAGCGCAGCTGCATCTGTCGGCAGCGCCGGCAGCCGCGGCGGGTCGCAGCGTCGATTGTTGCGGACTTTTCCTTCTTTTTGAATCTTTGAAGAAATTAAAAGTATTTTTATTTCTTTATTTTCTTTCGAAAAGCTCTTTTGTCCCGCGGAGCCGGCGGGGCGCTGCAGAGCGGCCGCAGCAGCCGCAGCAGCAGCAGCAGCAGCAGCAGCAGCTTCGATGCTGCGCGTGTGCCCGGCCCTCCGCAGCCTTCTTCGCCCCCAAAGGGCCAAAAAAGCAAAAACAAATAAGTGAAGCTTCTCTGGAGGCTGCGGTGTACGCACACCTGGCCCGGGGCGCGCGGTGCACGTACACCTGAACTCAGGCGCGCGGTGTACGTACACCCGAACGCAGGGGATGCAGCGGCAGCAGCACCATGCCTTTCTTCGAGCCCCTCGGGGCCGCGCGTTCTTCCCTCGTTGCTGCGGGGTGTACAGACACCTCAGCTGCTGCTGCAGTGGCTGCAGAGCCTCTGCTGCCAGCAGCAGCAGCAGCAGCAGGGGGCTGCGGTGAGGTGTACGCGCAGCTCCCGGTGGAGCGCGGGAGCCGCAGCAGCAGCGCCGCCGCCGCCGCCGCTGCTGCTGCTGCAGACGCAGAAGCAGCAGCAGCAGCAGCAGCACAGGGCGCGCCCGGGCTGCTGCAGCTGCTGCCTTCTCTCTCCTTCCTGCCCCCGCTGCTGCACCGCTACACAGGGACTTCCAAGGAGTCGCTGCTGGTGGGGTTGTTGTGCTGCTGCATCAACGTGCTGCTGTACCTGACGAGCGGGGTGCTGACGCGGGTGCTGCAGCAGCAGGAGCACCTCGCGCAGCAGCAGCAGCAGCAGCAGCAGGGGGGCTGCCCCGAGGCCGCGGCCTGCGGTGTACGTACACCCCAGCCCCTCGCGGAAAACCTCCGAGTCCCTTATTTGATGGTTTGGGTCCCTCAAGTTTGCCAAATAGTTTTTCTTTTTGTTGCAGTTCGAATCATCAACCAGAAGTACAGCCCCCACGCCCCCCAGCAGCAGCAGCAGCAGCAGCAGCGGCACTGCCACCTCATCAGCATGCAGGACATGCGGGCCGCCTGCAGCAGCAGCAGCAGCAGCAGCAGCAGCAGTTTCGCGGAGGACGGAGAAGGCGCATACGCGGCGCTGCTGCCGGCGGAGCGCAGCAGCAAAGAGCCGCCCGGCGAAGAGCTGGAGCTCCGCGCCGCAGCAGCAGCAGCAG